TTTATGATAGGTGAAGATTATTATTATTGAAAAAGAGCGATCGAGACATTTAAAGTTACATCAGAGAGAAGAAAACTGTTTTGAATTTAAAACAAGGAAAGTTGAATTCCAATATTCCAAAAATTTCCAAATGAAATCTCGCGAAATCGAAATCACTCAGAAAAAATAATCTTCCTTCGATCACCTAAGATTCTCCTTCGAATCCAAATCCAAATCTTTTCCTCATGATACTCACTTCTCGCCACAAACTTTCAGATTTCAATCTGAATCGAAACAAATGCGTATAACCGATAAAGATACACCATCGAGACGAATGAATCGCGGAGCAGAGTTTAATCGGCCAACGAATTTAAACTTAACGAGTTCAACGATGCTTGGCGGAGGTCGATCGCGAAAAGGAGGAAGCCTCGATGAAACGAAACACGGCAAGGGGAATAACATAAACGGGAAGAGAAAATCGAAACTCGTAACGAAAGCCAAAGTAAACGAAAGAAAAAGTGGAGAGAAAGGCGAGAGAGAAGAAGAATAAGTTCGAGTTCGCTCAGAGCGAGTCACGCACGTCTCGCGTGTTAATCATCCTGACTTATGTGCAGGCAGAGCCTGTATCGCCTCGAACAAGCGATGGTGTTCGATGGTGGAACACTTTCGGTCGAAAAAACGAGGAGAACGAGGGTGGGAATTAATATTTGTAACCGCGTGGCAGGTTTAGGCGGATTGGCTCCGCGGCGAGAAATTGCTCCGGTTTCTCTTCCTTCTTTCGTTCCTCTCTATCTTTCGCCTATCTATATATTTTCTTCGTGGAACAGTGTCTTACTTTCTCCTCTTACTTCTTTCAAAGTCGTTTCTCCTCCAACTTTCTCCATCCGGAAGAATGATCTAGGGGTTGTAAATCTTGGTACGGTGCAGTCGGCCACGAAAGGATTACGTTCGATACGAGGATAATTGGCTAATTCGATACGTTGGCCTATCGTTGGCCTATCCTTGAAAGCTTTGGAGCTTTCTGTTCTCCTGTTGCCTCCACTTTCCTCTCCCCTTGCACCCTTCCATACCGACGTCAGGATCGGCGATTAATCTAACCACGGAGGTTAGACCCGTTCCACCGCGAAGATCGTTTAGACGAGATGGCGTCGAGAAGTAGACGAATTGCCGGCCGGAAATCTGAATCGAACTAACCGAAAGTTTCGAACCTTTAAAATATTGCCATACTTCGCAACTGTGGATGAGATCTCTCCTCCTCTCCCCCCCTCCCTCCAACGGGTCTAACTTTGATCTTTGATATTATACGACGCGACTCGATTCGGATTCTTTCGTGCTATCTTCTCCGACATAGATCCAATAAGACGTGGTGCGATTTGAAATATTATTATTCTTGGGATAGTTGTTTCTTTTGTTCGAATGAAATATACGTTTTTGTGGGATTAGGATGGTTAATTAGAATTGTGTAATTATTATGTAATGTAATAAATTCTACGTTGTAGGGAGTTTTGTAAAAATAAAAAAAGAAACGTTGTTGCCAACCAATTTTATTATGTATTGTTATCGAGATCGAGGGAAATAAATTCTAATGTATCATAACTAAACAAAGAAGTATTTCGAATAAAATTTTTAAATTATTTATCCCCCAAAATACGAAGTATTATTTCTAATTTCCGAATTCAGAGCAGAAAGAAAGCAACGCAAACATTTTGCGGTTTCATCGCGTCGCTCTTCAATTTCTTTCCCGTCGAGTGGCCCCCGACGTGTTCGAAATTTGTCAGAAAGAGGTGAAAGAAAAAAGAAGAAAGGAAGGGGGAAAAAAAAAAAAGAGAAAAAAAAACGCAGACGCGCGCGTACACACAAGGGGGAAAGAGCGGGAAAATTGGTTGGCAACAACGAATCCATTTTCCAAACCGTTGAGAACGGGTATGCCAGCCTCCAGAAGCGAAACTGTTGCAGTATGGCCGATGAACTTTAACGCTCGGCCGGACAACAATAAAGGCGCTTTTATCGGGCAATTTTTAGCGGAATGGCTTGGGAGGCCGAGCGGATCCTCGGTCGTGGAAACGGCTAACCATTAAAATATTAGCGCCAGTTAATACTTTATAATCTTCGATGTCACGCGAAATTCGGGGTGGGGGGAGGGATCGTGAATGTTTTAAATCTCGAAACGGTATCGGCACCGTGCAAGATCGCCGCACTTTGGATTTTATCGCGGCCACCGCATGGGGAAATATTCCCCCGAATTTTCGGATAAATCTGGCCGTTTTAGGAGGGAGATTTATATCGGGTGTTTAAAGCGGTTCCTCGAAAATTTAGAAGCGTGCGGTATCGATCGAAATGAATGGAGAAACGTTTATCGTGGATTCGAGGATAAATTGTACTTTAGTTGTTGGTTAAACAAATGGAGGGAGATTATTTTCTTCGATATTTATTCAAACATTTTAAATGGCGTATAAATCAAGGCGTATGCCCTTCGCGAGGGTTGCGAGTAGTTGGCAGTAGTTTTTTTTATTTATTTTTTTTTACCGATTGGCAATTATTTTTATCACGTACGTTGAATTACAAAAATTAGATGCATTTTAATAGAGAAACGAAGAGAATAACGAGATATTAAATCTATTTCTTGGAAAATATTAGTATTTATAATTAAGAAAAAAGATCTTCGATTCTTTTTTCTTAATTAATTAATAAAAACCAAATAATTCAATCGATCGACAATATCGTTAAATAAAATTCCAATTTCAATTTGTTGCTCGTGAAAATTCTTCTTCGTTTCATTTATCAAATTTTTTATCTCGAATTTTACAAATGCATCGAAAACACATATAAAAATGGATTTAAAAAAAAGAATGACTCGCTTTGCTTCCATCGGATACTTTCCCGAAAAGAACAAGTTTCCCCTTTGATGTAATCTTCGCGATCTTCTTGATTCGTTGGCGCAAAAGTAAAACGACGTTTCGGCACACAAAGACAATAAAAAAGAAAAAAAAGAAGAAGAAAGAAAAAAAGAAAGATGGAAACTTTCTGTCAAGCAAATAAACGCGAGCGGATATTTCTACACGGAAGAAACTCTCTTTCTCTTTTCGAAAGAGTTAAAAATATTTATCGAGATCAGGAAAAGAGATGGTGAGTTTAATCTTCGCAACGCGCCGAGTATATTTTCGTGTAGCTTCGTATTTACTATTTACTCGAAAACATTCACGTCAACGGTAAACAATTTTAGGAAATCCCGACTTTTGAAATTTTGAAACTTCCACGAAAGAATCCGTCCCCGTTTCTCTCATTGCTGATTTGAAATAAAATTGACGTCTGGTTCTGATTCTAATCCGATCGAGAAAAATGTTTAGTCTTTTTTTTTTTTTTTTTTTTTTTT